GTGTGAGGTGATACCTCATTGTTGTTTTAATTTGCATCTCTCTGATGATTAGTGATGTTGAGCATTTCTTCATATGTCTCTTAGCCATTTGTATGTCCTGTTTGGAGAGGTGTCTACTTAGTTCCTCTGCCCATTTTTTTTTTTTTATCCTCACCCGAGGACATTTTTTGTTCAGATAGAGTGGGAGGGAGAGAGAGGAAGAGACAGAGAGAGAAACATCGATGTGAAAGGGACACATCGAGTGGTTGCCACCCACACGACCCAACCAGGGCCGGAAACAAACTGCAACCGATGTACGTGCCCTTAGCAGGAACCAAACCCGCGTCTCTCCAGACCGCAGGCCAATGCTCTAACCACCGAGCCAAACCGGCCAGGGCCCTCTGCCCATTTTTTAATTGGGTTCTTTGTCTTCCTTGAGTTGTATGAGCACTCTATATATATTGGAAATTAACCCCTTATCTGATATATCATCTTCAATTATGCTCTCCCATACAGTGGGTTGCCTTTCCATTTTGATGATTGTATCTTTTGCTGTGCAGAAGCTTTTTAGTTTGATGTAATCCCATGTGTTCATGTGAAAAGCTTCTTTAGGACTGAATCCATACCCTGTAGAGATGCAGTTAGAAAAATGGCAAGAGTATCTGCTTTTTCAGACTAGGATTGAAATTCCAGCTTGGTCACTTATTAGCTTGGGCAAACTGCAGAATCTCTCAGAGCTTCTGTTTCCACTTAGGTATGTTTTAAGGCTTCCAGGATAATGAACTTTCAGGGCCAAATATACAGTAGGTGACAGCAAATAATTACTGTTAACAGGATACTTGTTTTTTATTCCTCACCTCTATTTCAGTATATTGATAAAGTGGCACTGGGTGGCCAAGGATAAACTCTGAGTTCAAACTTTCAAGGCTGCCCATCACTGTGAAAGGATCTGAAGGGAAAGCCACTTTACAGATGAAGAAACAGACTGGAGATATTGATCGTCTTACCCACGGTCACACAGCAGAGGTAGGATTTGAACCGGGGTTGCCTGACTCCAAAACTCATGTTTGTTAAATGAATGAATAATTGACTTAGCCACACTTTAACTAGGGATGCCCAGAGAAGAACCATACCCTTAGTGTGGACAAACTTTCATGAGAGAGAATGGAGGGACTACATTCACCTCCCACCTAGAGTCACTGCCCATGACCAAGATGAGGAGGGCGTAGTAGGCATTCTCATAGAGTCCTGTTCTTACAGAAAAATGCATGATTACATCGGAAAGCTGCAGTCTCTCTGACTTGATTCCTCACACCTAGCCACTCAGCCCAGGATGCTGCGGTCATGGCACCCTTGCCCACCTTCATTTCTATTACACAGGTGCCAAGCATGCTTACATATCCCTACATTTATAATAACCCTGTGAGGAAAGCAGTAAAACTCATTTTATTTGACTCATAAGGAAACTGAGACTCTGAATGGTTTAGTGAATGGAAGGCAGAACTGTAAAGTAGTTAACAGCACAAGATGTGGCGTCAGATGGATGTGGGATGGGTCCCAGCTCTGCCATTTATCAACTGTGTAACTTTGGGCACGTGCATCATCTCTCTGAGCAGCACTTTCCTCATCTGTGAAATGGAAGTGACGGTACCTATGCTCACAGGCCTGAGGGGAAGATTAAATGAAATAATGTATGCCAAACTCTTGGTCCAGCGCTTGGCATTCCAGAAATGGCAGCACTTTTTCATTCAAATAAACAAATATTTATTGAATACCTTCTGTGGACCGAGCACCAGGTGCTGAAGAGAAAACAGTCAAAAGTCTCTGTTCTCCTGGTACTTGGATCTGATCTCTGTTGGGAAGAGTATTGCAGGCAGAGCAGCAGGCGCACACAGTGCTCTTTTCCCAACATTTTATTATGAAAAATTTCAAACATATACACAAAAGTTGAAAGACTTGTTCAGTGAAAAGTCGTTCACCTAGATTCAACAAATAACATTTAACTATATTTGTTTGATGACATAGCTGCCCTAGATCCCCTGTGCTTTTTTTGTTCCAGCTGACCTGCCTTGAAGATCTGCAGACAATCTGGATCTATTGTCAGAAAACAGGGGCCTTTTGCAAGAGTCAGGGGAGGAGGGAAAACTCCCCTTTGAACCAACTTGTTGGAAGAGGCCAACTGCAGGGGAGACCTCCTCTTTGTTAAAGAAATCCTCTGTTCAGTGAGGAGCTTGGTCCTCTTATCCAGCAGCCTGTTCCTCACTGGGGCAGGATCAGGATGCACAGGGGCTTGGGGTGCCTTGAAACTAGTTGACATTCACACTGAGTTTGTCAGCTGGTAAATACAACCATTGGGGGTTCCAAGCACAGGGGCTGCTGGTGACTGGAAATCTTGGGTTCATTTGGCCGATGTCTGGTGCTCCTTGGCAGGTGGGTCTGGCTGCCTGCTTTACAAACTTCTGGTACAGGACCCAGGTGAACAGGCATCACATTCATTTCTTCCCTCACACAGCAGAGTCTCTCCTTAGGATACCCAGTTCATAAGTGCTGATGGCCAGAAAAAGGCTGAGCATGAGGGGAATGGAGACTTCTGATCTCTGACCTCTAGGAGTCAGGGCACTTGCTCCCTTATTTACTGTTAAGGTAACAGAGGACTTGGAATCCTACATTCCTAGACTTTTAGAATTGGAAAGAGACTTCGAAGTTATCTGGGCTACAGTTAAGTGGCTTAACACCCAGGTGCACAAGTCAGACTGCCTGGCTTTAACCAGCTTTCTTACTTAGTAGCCCTATAAATCTGGGCAACTCAACCTTTCTGCGTCTCAGTCCTCATTTGTGATCTAAGGCTAATAGTTCCTTTCTCCAGCGTCATTAACTGCGTTCACACAGGTGAGTGCCTAGCAATGGTAAATGCTTCGTAAAAGTTAACTCCCGAAACCATCTGAAACAAAAGTAACCAGTGTCAGTGTTTTGCAGCCAATTTCCCCCCTGTGCATGCATTAACATGTTGTTATTATTATTTTACAAAAGTGGGAGCACACTGAACACACTGTTCTGTAACTTGCTTTTTCGCCAAATAGAATATCCTCCATGCCACCTTTGCTAAACCTTCAAAACATTTTCCTCTGGATGTCTCCACATGTGTTCAGAATCATCATATTGGTGGCAAGTTGTGTGTCCTGAAGTTTACTTAACCAGTCCCTATTATTGGATATTTAGGTTATTCTGAATTTTTTCCTCCTGTAAACGAAGCTGCACTGAGCAAGAAGTGGGAGAGGCCAACTGACTCTATGACATTCTGGGTCTTAGTTTCTTCGTCTGAAAACAAAATGACAAGATTATATTGGGTGAGGTCACTACCTCATGAGCAGCCTGTTTCACTGGGGAGCTGTAATGGTTAATGAAGTGTCTATTCACGTTGGGACAAAGTCTGCCTCCCTGCAACTCCTAGTCTAGCTTTATTGTCTGGGGCCCCACAAATTCAGTCTGTACTGGCCAGTGGCTGGGGCCAGTGCAGGAGTAAGGCAACTTCCCTCCCTTCCTTTCCTCCCTCCCTCCCTTTCTTCCTTCCTTCCCCTCTTCCTTCCTTCCTTTCTTCTTTCACCTCTTCCTCCCTCCCCCTCCCTCTCCTCTTGGTGCTTATTATATGTCAGACCTTCGGCTAGACATGTGCATGTGGGCCATAGGAGAAACTAACTGCAGGGTCAGAATTAGAAAACAGGTGGCCTATATCCCACTTCAGGGAACTGCCCACCACTAAGGGATGGGGATGTTGGGGCTGGCGTCCTTCCTCAAATGCACTGTGGTGTTCATGCCCCAAGCAGAATCTGGGCTGCTCTGTGAGAAAGGGACCACTTTGGCCTAGGACTAGATCAGGACTCCCACCAGGTTTTTTCTAGAGCTGGATCCAAGTGTCCCTTCTTTTCTCCCAGCTACCCTTAAAATATTTGGAAACAAGCAGATTTAAATACAGATTCAGGCCCTGCTGGTGAGGCTCTATGGTTGAGTGTCGACCCATACACCAAGAGGTTGCTGGTTCGATTCCCAGGCAGGGCACATGCCGAGGTTGTGGGCCCAATTCCGTGTGGGGGACATGCAGGAGGCGGCCAATTGATGTTCTTTCTCATCGATGTTTCTTCCTCTCTCTCTCAATTTTCCTTCCTCTCTCTCTAGAAAGCAATAAAGAAAAAAAAATTAAATTCAGATTTAAATACAAATAATTTCATCTGTGTAACTCTGAAGACTTAATTCTATGTGGGGCCTGTCTATATCCTCCCCAGAACTTAGTATTATTCTTTGCTTTTATTCACTCATTCATTCATTCTCATTTAATACATTCTTATTAAGAGCTCACTAGATGCCCTATCTGACATGTGGTAAGGTTTTTTAATATATGTTTTATTGATTTTTTTAGAGAGAGAAGGAGGGAGAGAGAAACATCTATGTGAGAGAAAAGCATCGATTAGCTGCCTCCTGCATGCCCCCTACTACTGGGGGTCAAGCCCACAACCCAGTCATGTGCCCTGACTGAGAATTGAACCAGAAACTCTCAGTCCATGGGATGATGCTAAATCCACTGAGCCACACTGGCTGGGCCATGTGGTAAGGTTTTAAAGAGAAATTTTGCCAATCCACGCCCTCTCTGAGCCTTAGTTTCTCCATTTGTAAAATAGGAGTGTTGATCTTCTGCCTTTCTCCCAGAAATATGGTGAGGGTAAACTAAAGGAATGAATAAAGGAGGATTTTTATGTTTGGGTGCTGAATGAATGAATACCCGCTTTTAAACTGAGCACAGTGTCTGTCCTATAGTAGGAATGCAGCAACTATGTGTTGAGTGAATAAATAAATGAGTGACTGAATGAATGAATGTTAGAATAAATGCATTTCTTCCTTCTCCTTGTCATAGTCCCTCTGCTCCTGTGTTAACTCCATAGACAGGTCAGCATAGCCAGCCTTGCAGCCTAAGATAAGGCCTTTGGCGGGTGTCTCCCCATCACTCCCTCAAGTGGGTGTGGGGGCAGCATTGGCCTGTTGCTGGTGGAACCATGCACAGAGACGCACACAGGATGGGCTCTAAGTACCCACGGTCTGTTCGGGGCTGCCTGCCCCTGTGGACCTTAATGCTGGAGGCCGTTTTCATTCTCATCTTTTTCTTTTTCACCAACTATGACAGTTCCTCACAGAAGATCATGGGGACTCATCAAGGTGAGTGCCCAGATGGGAGGTGGTCACAGAGGCAAATAGGAGCAGAGACCAAGGAGACCTGTAGTGCTCCAGGAACCTAATTGTTCCATTCCACAAAGTCTCCAAAGTCTCTCATTGCCTTCCACAGATTGCACAAAGATGCAGCTAACAATGTAGGCTCTCTTTTAGGACCAGTGTAGGCATCACCTCTTCAATGAAGCCTTCCTTGATTTGTCAGGGCAGAGTTTAGGAACCTCCTCTTCTGTGTTCCCAGAATTCCCTTTGCCAAAGAGTCTTCATAATTTTCTGCCTCTGCCAACTTCTCTCTCCTTAGCAGCAAAGAATTTCACATTATTGGTTTTGAGGTTTTGTTATCTGTTTTTGTTTTGGTTTGGTGTTTGGGGTTTTTTTGTGTGTGTCTCTCATGCTCATTTCTGTACCAGCCACCTTTTAGAAGCTTCAGTCTATTGCCCTTCCCCCATCCCCTGCCCTCTTCTCACTTGGAGGCTGAAAAGTCTGCATTCTGTCAGCAAATCCAAAACCATAAGGTGTAACGGAAAGGGCGGGTAGGATAGTTGTTATTTTATATGCAGCTAAGAATATTCAGACGGTGATGAGAGCAACTGTAAACAAGACAGATGTTCACGGTGGTGTGGCTTTTGTTTTTTATAAAAATCGAGATGAGTTTTCAAGCATCTCAGTGGGTGACATGTTGTGCATGGTAATGGACAGGCCTCCTTGAGTGACCTTCCTGAGACAAAGTTGACGCTTGAATCTGGTTGAGTACTTGCTTGTTCCTTAGTGATGTTAACTTGACTAGTTAACTAGAAGCAAAGGGAAGGTAGTTCCGGGCCCTCCGCAGTGGAAAGTAGGACAAAGAGATGACATAGGGAGGGAAGCCCCTATACAGTGGGCCCTGTGTGGTTAATCGTTTATAATCAGTTCCAGACTCTACCGCGATAAATGAATTTCCGAGAAGCAGGAGTCTTTATTTGTATACAGTCGTCCCTCACCACTTTGTGCTTCCACGTTCCCGGCTTTGCTCTATGTGTTTTTTTTTCCAATATAGCACAGTATTTGAAAAAACCGCAAAAGAGTGAAGCCGCCAACGTCGAAGCGCAAGTGGAGAGGGACGACTGTACCACTTAATGGGCTGGTCTAGAGGGGCCTTTGCAGACAAGCAAGGCCTGGGCACAGTTCTAATTCATGTCCATTTACTTTAATTCTTTTCAATCCATCACAGTTAATTCAATGTATTCATTCATTCTTTTATTCCTTCAACCCTGTATTGCAACCAGTGTGGGATCCGCACACACGCTCATTAGAGCTGATATTTATCATGCTCTTACTATATACCAGGCACTATTCTAAATGCTTTCACTGAACCGTCACAATAACCCGTGGGACAGGTAGGCACTGTTATGATCTCCATTTTTCCGATGAGGAAATCAGGCTCATGAACAATAAGTGATTTGCCCAAGGTCACTCAGCTAGCAATAGCACAGCACATTTAAACTTAGCCCGGTTTTCATTTTCATGCATTTAGTCATCATGCTTCATGGCCCCATTTTATAGTGAGGTTGGGTCACTTGTCATACAAACAGTGAGCATCTGGGCCAGTTTTCCAATTTCATTGGTTCGCTCCTGGCTGTGTTCTTCACCCCTGTGCTGTGCTGCTAACATAGGTATAAAGTGTCTTCAGACACTCACTTTACATAGAAGCACAGAGGAGGGCCCACAGCCCAAGCAGGAAGGCCACTACCCAGCCAGGAGGAGTTAACCATGTGAAGCTGGAAGGTCAGGAGCACAGCAGGAACCATTGTGTGTGTGCTCGTTGGAGTGGACCAGGCTAGGATTTGACAGTGCAGTGTTGTAGAAGCATAAAGAGGGGGCAGAGCATGGTGGATCCACTGGGCTGAGCAAAGAAGTCAACCTTCATTCTGCTGGCCTAAGGGGATGTGATGAGTTTGGTTTTGGGTAATGGAGAAAGCCATTCCAGGGCTGGTGTAGAGGAGAGGAGAAGGGGTGTGACTTGAGGCAGGAGACCAGTGTGGAGTCTATATAGTGTAGTATGGATCAGAGAGCTTCACCTTTTCAATTTTTTTTTTTTTTATCCTTACCCGAGGACATTTTCCATTTTTTGTTCAGGTAGAGTGGGAGGGTGAGAGAGGAACAGAGAGAGGAACAGAGGAACAGATGTGAAAGGAACACATCGAGTGGCTGCCACCCGCACAACCGACCAGGGCTGGGGACAAACTGCAACCGAGGTACGCGCCCTTAGCGGGAACCGAACCCAGGTCTCTCAGGACCGCAGGCCCACGCTCTAACCGCTGAACCAAACTGGCCAGGGTGAGCTTCACCTTTGCAGATTGTGCAGACCATTATTCTAGCGCACACCATATTGACAGGTTATGGTGCATGAATACATTTTGTACATTATAATACATACATTCAAATTAGAACATTTGAAAGAGATCAAAATTAAATATATAGTATTTTCAAATTACTGATCATAATGGTGTCAGTTAATTTCAAGGTGAGGTCCTTTGTTATCATTACTGATGGTAGATGGAAATCCATTTCTCAGAGTCTTCTTGATAATTTTAAATGATCTTGGTTGACTTCTTGTCAGCTGATTAGACTGACAGTTTTTTTTAACCTTGAATGTGACTGACAGTTTGCACAAGAAAAAGTATCACAAAAGTCATTTATGCCACTAATCCATTTTGTGAAGGTTAGTTAAAACTAACCATCTCACATCGATGTTTCCCTCTCTCTCACCCTCTTCCTCTCCTTCTCTCTCTCCTCTATCTGAAGATAAATGGGAAAATATCCTCAGGTGAAGATTTAAGAAAAAAGAAACTTGGTAATTTAATCTGCCAGTCTACTTAGTCTAATCTTGTCCGTGTAAACTACAATAAGTTATTTAAACCAGCCAATTCTAAAAAAAAAAAAAAAATTTGGAGATAATCAGGAATCATTATAGCATAAATATTATATGATATACAGGAATTATTGTTAGGTTTGTTAAGTGCGATAATGGCATAGTGGGGTTTTTTAAATCCCCATTTATTAGAGAAGCATATTGAAATGAAATGATGTCTGGGTCTGCTTCATACCAGAGGGGGGGGGATATAATAAAAATGAGATTTGCCCCATGTGATGATCATCAAAGCTGGGAGCGCAGATTCCCAGGTCTGGGTCCTTACCTAATGTTTTTGCATATGCTTATAATTTTTCATAATAAAAAGTTAAATTAAAAAGAAAGAAAGAAAGAAAGAAAGAAAAGAAAACCAGCCCAGGCCAGGTAACTCAGTTGGTTAGAGCATCATCCTGATATGCCAAGGTTGGGGGTTCGATCCCCAGTCAGGGCACATACAAGAATCAACCAGTGAATGCATAAATAAGTGGAACAACAAATCAATGTTTCTCTCCCTCTCTCCCTTTATCTCTCTCTCTCTCTCTTGAATCAATAAATTAAAAAACAAAAACAAAAACCTGCCACTAGTTGCAACATGATGAATATAAAGAAACACATATCAACCCCTTCCCAGTGGCCCAATATTCCCTCAGGACACTTTCCAGAGCTAGGACAGCTTCTAAGCTGTCTGACATCCTGAGAGAGTGAGTTCATCTGAATATTAAATACTTGCAGAATTGCAAACTTCAATTGCCTAGATCAGTGGTTCTCAAAGTGTGGTCCTCAGACCAACTGCTTTAGCATTCCCTGGGAACTGGTTAGAAATGCAGGTTCCCAGGCCATGGTTCTTACCTATTGATCAGGAACTCTAGAGGTGGGGCCCGCCAACCTGTTTTACCAAGCATGTGAACGTTTGAGAACTACTGGAGTTAGACTGCTTCACATCTTGCCTCTGCCTCTTCTTAGCTGTGAAACCTTGAGCAAATTACTCAACCTCTCTCTGCCTCCATTTCAACCTCTGTGACATGATGACAGTTCTTATTTCATTAAGCTGTTGAAAGGACGGAGATAGTTAACACACATAAAAACTGATAAGAGTATTAGCTTTTATTTTAATAAGGTTTAATTTTTTATTTTAAAAAATAAATATAAATAAAACTAGAAGAGCTGTTATCTTCCTCCAGCAGCTCCTGTGAATTGTCTGGAGCATCTTCTGAGGTGTGTTCCCTACTCTGATGACTGCTGGTCTGGATAACCTGTGATGAGGCCAAATGGACAGGGAAAGTGAAGGAGAAGCAGAGTCACAGTCAAGAGATATTTAGGAGATAAAATCAGCTGCACTTGGTGAAAATGAGGGAGTTGTCAAAGATGGCTTCAGATGTGTGGTTTGGCCAATGGAGGTGCCAGTTTCTGAGAGAAGAGGCAAGGGGAGAGGCAGGTTTTGGGGCAAATGAATAAGATATGTTCATTCTAGGCTCAGGGTGGAGGGGCCTGTGAGATACTTAAGAGGAGCAAAGTGTATCAATTATCTGTGCTGCTTAACAAACCACCCCTAAACTTAGTGGCTTAAAATAGCAACCATTTATTTGTTCATGATCAAGATTTGGTAGTTCAGCACTTTGGGCTGGGCTCAGCAATGCAATTCTTCTGTTGGTTTCACCTAAGGTCACTCAAATATCTCCAGCCTGTAGGTTTGACGGGCAGAGAGCCTCAGATGGCCTCATTCACAGGTCTGGCAGCTAGCTAGGTATGGGCTGGCAGCTAGCCCACATGGTGCCAGCAGACTAGTCCAGACGTCTTCGCGTGGCAGCACAAGAGTCATTGCAGTAGCAGAGGGCAAGCCCCACTGTGCAGGTAACTTTCAAGCCTCTGCCTGTGTCATGTTTACTAATGTCCCATTTGCCAAAGCAAATCACAAGGCCCAACCCAGGTGGGAGGGGTCTACAGTGAAAGGCATGGTTCACTGGGGACATTACTGAAACAATCTGTCACACAGAGCCTGCCCTAAGGCTGCCAATTGGGGGACCAGCCTGGGCCCTGCACTGTGACTACTACCCAGATCCCCCTGTAGTCCTCAGAAGCAGGAAGGAGAGCTACTGAA